TTTTTTTTTTTAATGGATTGAAGAATTTGTTTCGAAATTTTACAATTTTAAATCAACAATTCTTCGATTATTAATTTCGTTGATTCTTTAAAGCAGAGTAGAGCACAAATCAACTAATGATTAAAAATGTCTAATATTCTGTGATAACTAAATAGTCAAAAGTTTTCTGTTGTTTAGCCATGATTACGTGAAACTCTAATTAATGGTAAGTCAATAATTATTTACTTATAAATTTAAATAATTACTCATAAATAATTACTAGCTAGTCACACGTAATTAATTGTTAATCACTGATTATTAATTCCAAATAGTCATTATCATCAATCATTATGGATCTAACAAAAATTAATACGACAATAACTTATAATACTTTTAACTTGTAACCATTTTTGATCGTTAATCATATTTATCAGATTCTGATTATGTATTTGGTCATTAGTTACAATTACAGTCAGTCTTGTCATTGCAGTTAGTCATTAATCAACATTCATTAGTTATCTTTGATAAAAAAAAATTAATCATCAGTCACTAGTCGCAAATAGCTCGAGTACTTGGTCAATTTTACACAGCTTACGAAGTCATTAGTCACGAATTTAATTTACTCTCCACTCTGACTTGAAATATTAAAAATCATCACGACGCTTCATAACTGTGTTAAACACTGCGTGTTAAATTATAATTATCAACTAATAAAGTGTGCCACAGAAACAAACAAATTCGATGAGAAGAGAATCTTTGTCTGATAAATCTTGACGTGCCTACTGTTGTGTGAAAAATAGATAAAAAAAAAAAGGATACTCTTCGTGAAGGAACGAAACAAGGAGACCAAAGGGCTCGGGATGATCGTCTTTACGACGGACGCGAGAACTCACTTTGCACGCAACGGCGGCTGTAAAACGTTATCGTCGTGTGCGATATCGGCGCGGCGTCCGATGGTAAACGCGGTCGTGAAATAGTTGCTTCCGGCGTAGCCATAGAAATCCTGAAAGAGGGGCGATAAGATGTAATGGCGGCAAAGCCAGGCGACTGATTTCTCTCGTTGACAGACGGTGTTTTGCCAACGGATGATGCTTTTGCTGTTAATCCGGCCACGATCGCGAAACGACAGCTCGTAAACCATTCGAGTGCGTAAAGATGACGCGTCGCTCCGTGAAGAAGAAGAAGAAAAGAATAGGAAAATTATTAACAGAATTAACAGAGATAGCCGTTGTAAAACAACCACAGTCGAGAGACCACCGTCGTAGGGAACTGCGTTTTATTTCTCTTCTGACTTGTCTCGTGCAGTTAACCACGGATCCACCGTACTTCCGGTTACGCCATACGTCCCATTTTTGTGAACACGAGAGACAGCAGCGCTTCTGCTATTTTCTGTTTTCTCTTCTTCTTCTTCTTTCTTACGTGTCAGTCTTGCATTTGCTATCGACAGGCTGCGGATGTTCATGCGTTTTTTGGGGGAAATTTAAAAGTGCAAAGAACGTCCACAGAACGCTTATAATACGAGAAGAGTACTTGTTACACGAGTGGAATTTCAAGAAATAAATTTCTATTCAGATGTATAACAATATAAAAATGTACGAACCTCCGAATAATAATCTGATTATCAAACGAGAGATTCATGTATTTTAGCATTTCTGAAAAAAAGGAAGTGTCAATTTTTCCAAATCTCATTTGCAGATTGTGATATATATTTCACAATATAGCAGAGGTGTTGCGTAACTTTGAAACATTGGCGCTCTTTTCTTTTAGAATGAATCATTTCTTTCATTTAGTATTTGCACGTAAAACAGAGAAAATGGAATTAGGATTTGAGGAATGATTTTTATGAACAACTGCCGAGGATAATTGCCAGGCAACGAGGATGACACGTGTTTGAAAGACAGCTTTGTACACACACACATTGATATTCTAGGACAGTCGGATAACGCACGACTGAGCATTCAAGAATCATAATTCATTTTTCGTCACCGGCTGATTGTCACGAACTCGAGGAAAGCGCTTTGGAAGCAAAGTCATAAATCTTCATCCCTTCACAACCACTGTATGACTCGAAATACCATATCAAAATACCGTGGTTTCAATGGAAGACAGACAAAAACGTACATTGAAATATTAATTTCGATTAAAATCATCGAACTATTTAAGGCGTTGTGCGACTGTTCGAGTTAATTCGAAGAATTTTCATATTCAATTTATGCAAATTTACTTGAGAAAGAAGACGTGAGACATTATGAGTTAGTATAGAATTTCAAATTCCATTAGTACTCGAGAATTATTTTCTAAACACAAAAATGTCTGTAAGAAATTTTTATCAATTTAGGCACTTGAGATTTAGCTCAGTCGCGAGGCGCATAATTTCTGGACTTATTACGTATTTAGCAAAATCTCGACCTTCATTCATCACGCTGTACTAACCCTAGAAAGGCCAAGCCACAAGCTGTCACGTCGAAGATTAAGGGAGAACTCGTCTAGCGAGCCCATTACATTTTCCATATTTCTATTTTGGCATTTAAAATTTAATTTTATAAAGAAACCTTCTGTGTAGAAAAGAAAAAAGTGCCTTCAACGAAAAAAGTATTCGACTAGTTTCTCATTCTCATATCGTAAATAATTCCTTTCGAATGTTAAATTGTTTCAATAAAGTATGGAGCGAGCCCTACACCATTTTGATAACTTTGTAAATAAAAACTTTACTATTTACGTGAATATCCGATTTTCGTGAAGTTTTTCGTATTTTTCGAAGTATCAGAGTAATCCTCAATTTTTTTTAAAGAAACGTTACGTTTTTATTACATCCTTTGGTCAACAAAAATTGCGGGGTAAATTCGGTGACACGTATTAAAACGTTTATAAAGCGACTTTTATAAATCAATGTCAAAATCTATTACGTTTCTTTTTTTTTTCTGGAAAAACAAAACAAGTCAGATTTCTTTCAACGAGAACGTGTCAGAAACATAATTCATCGAGTTTAATTTAACACTTTGATTGTAACAATATACTTTATATTTCTTCATTACGTAAATGTAAAATACAAAATTGTTGAATCGAATGTCGAAACTGAATGTTGACCTGAATTGCCTAAAACACTTTATATGTGCATGCAAAAGATATTTTCGCGGAAATATAGATCGACTATCAAGAACAACAGGTCGAATATTTTTTTCTAAACTTTTCCAATTCTGATACACGCGAAACTATCGGCGTTACAAAGACAAAAAGACATTCATCGAACGATAATCCTTTATTTGTTATTTTCTCTTTGTTTTTCAAACTGTTGCGACGTACGAGGCATCAGCTT